AAGGAGGGGGGGAGGGGGTTAAATTAGATTTTATATAAATGGGATAAATATTTATAAATACATTTATTAGAGAAAACATCTGATTTTTTGTGGGGGGGGGGATACTAGGGGTCAAACCCAGGGCCTCAGGCATGCCCAGCAAGGTGCTCTACCACTAAGCCATGTCCCCAGTCTAACATCCAATTCATTATTCAGTTAGAATACTAAAACACCTACTGCTAAACATAAATTCAAGTACTCTTAAGTTCTTAAATTCTATTCTTAAATTCACAAAACATGCACACATACATACATATACACATAGACTTGTTTATATATTAGGGTCTTTCAATGAATGCATTTTTGTAATTTTGTTGGTATATGGAAAAAAACAGTTTATGATTGCTTTATTTCTGAGTCTTCACTAAAAGGTTAATAAGAGTTAAAATTCTAACTGATGTACTTGTATAAGCAAAAATTACAAAAAAATTAAGCTGTGCTTTATTGGGGAAAATCTATTTTAAAAGAAAAAGTTATTCCATCTTATTGGATAAAAAAGAGTAATTTGTCAAAAGTCAAAAATTTCATAAAGGTTGTTTTAAATTATAAATATAAGGAAGGGGAAAAAAGAATCAGCAAGTGGGAAGGAAGAAATATAAGAAAGCTATAAGCATGGGGATATATTTTAAGGAAAATTAAAAGGAAAATATAATGTTTTGGGATGGAAAATCAGAAGCCTTGAAATCACAGTGAGTTGTGAAAACTGGCTACTAGGACAATTAGATATCCACTTGAAAAAAAAAACTGGACCCCTACTTTACATCATAAGCCAAAATTATTACCTCAAAATGGAACAAATGCATTAATGTAAGAGATAAAAAATTAAACTCTTAGAAGAAAAAAACAGATGTAAATCTTCCTAACCATAGAAATTCACATGAATTTTTTTACAGTGAAGGAATAAGATATTTTTTTACTCTGGCCTATAACCATGAGGTTATATTTATATATATTTATCATCAATATCTTTGAGTACTGACTAAACAATTACAATAATAATACAGTCTCATTCACAGACATAAATTACTAAGTTTCTGAAACTGGCACTGAACTTGCCATTCTCCTGCCTCAGCCTCCCTAGACACTGGGATTACAGACATGTGCCACCATGCCTGCTGCCCCCCCACACACCATTCTATTGATTAACACAATCAAAGTCTGACAGGATTCAAAGCTGAGGGGTTACTTGACCCTGCTTATCAACGGAAGGGTGGCAAGGTCCCATTACAGAGGAGAGTGGGATGGGAGGAAGTGGTATGGACATCTTTGAAAAATAACACCCTATCACATCCTCCCAAGTACTTCTCTTGCTTAAGTATATGTTGATCTCATTTTTTTCCCCAAGGAGAAACCACTCAGGAGACTATTATTATAAATGAGGTTCCTAAACTCTATTCGAGGGTAACCAGATGCTTTTTAAAAATATATTTTTTAGTTGTAGTTGAACACAATACTTTTATTTATTTATTTTTATGTGGTGCTGAGGATCAAACCCAGGGCCTCACACATGTAAGGCAAGCACTCTACCCCTGAGCCACAATCCCAGCCCCAGAGGCTTTTATCCATATTCAGCTTTTCCGTTTAGCACATCTGACCATTTCTCCACTCTCAGTGGCTCTCAACAGAGAAGGATTTGGTCGCCTATAGGCTGCTGGACACAGCAGTAATCATTCTAAGGAGAAAAGCAGCCACTGACATGAGCTGGCTGCACCCTCACAACTAAGGCTCTTAATGAACATAAACAATTTCTTGGACCTCCAATGTTATACAAGGTTACTATGTGATCAGGATGACCAGAAAAAAAAAAAAAAAAGGAAAACCACTGCATAATCATATCTGACAAGACAAAACACAAACTTTTACCAAATCACAAAATGACCAAACATCCTACTGTCCTGGTTAAAACAGTGCCCATGGCTACTCAGTCTACTTCTAGTCTATCCTCCTAGATAATACTCATTACGATATCCACAAAATTACTTCTTAACTGAATCCAATCTAGAGCAAAGCCTCACTTCTTTAAATCCTCCCCCAAATCATCTAACAGGTTCAAATCCTATAAATCCTTTTTGACTCCCCAACAGATGCCTTACAGTTCCCCATTGTGTGCATTCTGCTTCAATGCAACACATCCAGTGACCAACTCCATTTGCTCAACCACCATGTTTTAGTAGTCTTTGCTTAGAACTCACTGACAACTTTACTAAAGACCCTGGAGTTTACAGAATACATTCATGGCCAAGGTTATTTCTGATCTTCTGAACTCTAACATACAGTCAGTAAGACATTGGATTTTACTCTTTTTCACTATGGTTTTGGAAGACAATTATATAAATTCCTTAGACCACCAGAAACTTTTTAAATGCCCTTACAGTTAAATTCATTTAACTATAGTTAAAATATATTTATGTGTGGTGGTACACTTGTAAATCCCAGTGGTTCAAGAGGCTGAGGAAGGAGGATCACAAGTTCTAGCCTAGCCTCAGCAACTTAGCAAGACCCTGTCTCAAAATAAAAACTGAAAATGTCTGAGGATACTGTAGCTCAGTGGTTAAGTGCCCCTGGGTTCAACTTGGGGGCGGGTGGTGGGTAGAGGAATACACACACACATTTGCATATGTATGTATGTATGTATGTATGGGTAAGATATATATATATATATATATATATATATATATATATTTTATATATATATAAAATCTGGACCCCCAGATTTCCTTCTTATCACCTTATCAAGTGCAGAAAGATTATCCTGATAACAGTGACAATAGCTGTCCTATCCCCAGCATGGCTACAGAGTCCAAGGGCAACCTGGCTTCAGACTATCCAAGACATTTAAGTCTCTGCTATGGGAAAAGAAATAAGTATAATAGGACAACTGGCTCATCAGCTGTGGGTACCAGAGTCCAGAACATATTTCTATTGCTGTCACCTCCTCCTCTTCCTAATGAGTTCTTGATTTCTCTCATAGTCATTTTGCAAAGGAAAAATTTGACTTTTTGTGGTGCTGGGGATTGAACCCAGGGCCTTGTATATGCGAGGCAAGCACTCTACCAACTAAGTTATATCCCTAACCCCAAAATATGACATTACTTATAATTACCCACCCTTTTCCCCTTATCCTTTTCAGTTCTCACTCCCTTGATACAAAGACTTGTATACTCAGAAAAACCATGTGTAGGGCTAGGGTCGTGGCCCAGTGGTAGATCACTTGTCTAGCATGTGTGAGGCACTAGGTTCAATTCTCAGCACCACATACAAATAAATAAAGGTCCAATGACAACTAAATATTTTAAAAAAGAAAGAAAAACCATGTGGCCTAAGGGGTATGGGCTCAGTGTTAGAGTACTTGCCTAATATGCTCAATAGCCTGGGTCCAATCTCCAACACTACAAAAATGAAAAAAAAATTTTTCAAAAAACACTGTCTTCCACAGCATGGTAGTTAAGTGACAGATCAGAAACCTCCCCTTACCTTAGAGGTGCACATATACAGTTAATTTAAAGGCATTTAAAGAACCAGCTATAGCAGTTAGGTAATTTGGATTGGAAACAAACTCATCTGAACTTCAGTTCTAGAGTTATTTTAACACACATGGCTCCAAATTCTCCTTAGCCTGTCTATTCCCAGGAACCCTGGGAGTTTTTCCCTTGCAAAATGACTATGAGAGAAATCAAGAACTCATTAGGAGGAGGAGGAGGTGACAGCAGTAGAAATATGAATGTTAATGCAAAAATATTAAAGCATTGTTGGGCTGGGGTTGTGGCTAAGTGGTAGAGCACTTGCCTAGCATGTGTGAAACACTGGGTTTGATCCTCAGCACCACATAAAATAAAAAAAACAAAATAAAGGTATTGTGTCCATCTACAACTAAAAAAATAAAAATTAAAAATTAAAGCATTGCTACCTAGGAATCATCTAGGACATCAAGCTAAAGAGCCCAACCTCACATAGGTTTAACTTCTCACATTTCACCGAAAATTATACTCTCTCAGTAGAATGAATTGGACATAACTTTTCTATGTCCACATATGAATACATGACTAGTAAAACTCCATATGTACAACCCCAAGAATAGGAAGTGTATATGTCAAAATACATTCTACTGTCATGTATAACTAAAAAGAATAAAAAATTTTAAAAAACACACAAAAAAGAGAATTGTACTCTCTGGAGGACAATGTGCAGATTAGATATGAGGACTAATGTGGAGGGGAGAAATCAGTGAAACAACAAAAAGGATAAGGTTTGGCAATCATGAATGAATTTGATAATTTTTAAGTTTGGTTGCTTTTTGTGTGTGTTTGTGTCTGGCTGACTCCCTTAGGATGTGAGGATGTGCATACAGCAGATAAGATATTTCTGAAACATTCAGAGCACTGGCCAGCCCAGCTACTTGCTGGCCCTCTGAAAAGACTCTGAATAGAACTAGGCCGGTTTGTTTGGACTTTTTCTGTTGTTATTTTATGTGTGCCTGGTTGTTTGGTTTGAGGTTGTTTTATAACTGGTCTGGGGAGAGATCTGGGATGCAACATTGACTAGAGTCTAGAATGAATAGTAAAATTTCTGAAAGTGTGTCCTGGTCATTTTCAGACTCCTGGGAGGATTTGGAGGGCACGTGTAACTGTGAACTGTACCCCTCCAGGAGACTGTTTAGGGTCAACCTTTAAAAGAAATCTTCAAATTAAGCTCCAGCACAACAGGATTTCTGGTTCTGAGCTCTAGATTAAACAAAATGATTATTTCTTCAGAGGAGGGAGAGATTTTATTGAGGGTTAGAAAAAAACTACCTACCATACCTTCTCAATTCTGACTCATTATACTAATTTTTCTTTGACAATTAGATCATCACAGCATTTTTTAACTTCAACATAATTTATTACTAGAAATTAGGAACAACCCATATTTTGTTGTTGTTGACACAAGTAGGGGTGTGAATTCCACTATAAATAACTACTTACCTTAATATAACTCAGCAAAGAATTTTAAAAGAAAATATCTTCTTAGTGTTTTTTTAATTTTCATGGTGCAAAGCACTATGACACCTAAAATTGAAGAAAAACAGTTTTGTTTGGTTAATCTTTGCTTCACCATTCAAAATATACAAATGAACAACCAAAACAAACCCATTCTATTAAAGACAAACATAAGACCTAAAATGTAAAACTTGTAGACAAACTAAGACAAGAGAAAAACTATATGACATTGATATGGGCAATGATTATTTGTATTTGATCTCAAAAGTTCAGGCAACAAAAACAAAAATAGACAAACGGGGGGCGGGCTGGGGCTGTGGCTCAGCAGTAGAGCGTTCATCTCTCATATGTGAGACCTGGGTTTGATCCTCAGCACCACATAAAAATAAATAAATAAATAAAGATATTGTGTCCATGTAAAACTAAATTTTTTTTTTAAATAGACAAATGGGGGCTGGAGTTATGGCTTAGAGGTAGAGAGCTCACCTGGCATGTGTGAAGCACTGAGTTTGATCCTCAACACCACAAAAAAATAAAATAAAAAATAAAGAGATTGTGTCCACCTATAACTAAAAAATAAATATTAAAACAAATAAGACAAATGGGCCGGGTAACTAAGGACACTGAAATAGGAGGATTCTCCAAGTTCAAGGCCAACTCTAAGCAACTTAGGGAGACCCTGTCTCAAACACAGAAGGGGTGTAGTGGCTCACACCTGCAATCCCAGCAAAGCCAGCCTCAGCAACTTAGTAAGGCCCTGAGCAACTTAGGAAGACTCTGTCTCAAAAAGTGGAAAAAAAAAAATGGCAATGTGGTTGAGTGCCCACCCCTGGGTTCAATCCTCAGTAAGGGAGGGGATGGAGGGAAGGGGGGGTATGAAGGGGGGGGCAGAGGGGGAGGGGAACAGAGGAAGGGGGTGATGAGGACAAAACACCTACCTGCCATTCAAATTCACTATCTGACCAGTCCCAGTATCTGCAATACCAAAAATAAATAGATAGATAGATAGATAGAACAGACTAGGAATGCAGCTCAGTGGTAAAGTGTCCCTGGGTTAATCCCCAGTACCAAAAAAAAAAATAGACAAATGGGATTATATCAAACTAAAATACTTCTGCACATCAAAGAAAACATTCAACAGTAAAGAAACAACCTATAGGGGATGAGACTGTAGCTCAGTGGCAGAGCACTTGTCTAGCACATGTGAGGTACTGGGTTCAATTCTTTGAACCACATAAAAATAAAACAAATAAAATGGAGGCATTCTGTCCATCTATAACTACAAAAAAATTTAAACAACCTACAGCATGAGAGGAAATATATATCTGTAAGCCATACATCTGATAAGGGGTTAATATCCAAAATATATAAGAAACTCAACTCAATAAGAAGAAAATAACACAACTTAAAAATGAGCAGAGAGACAGGCACAATGGTATATGCCTGTAATTCCAGCAACTCTGGAGACTGAGGCAGGAGGATCGTGAGTTCAAAGCCAGCCTCAGCAAAAGTGAGGCACTAAGCGACTCAGTTAGACCCTGTCTCTAAAATACAAAATAGGGCTGAGGATACGGCTAAGTGGTCGAGTGCCCCTAAGTTCAATACCTGGTACCAAACAAACAAAGAACTTGAATAATATTCCTTGAAAGGAAGACTTACAAATGGCCAACAAACATATGAAAAAATGTTCAACACCACTAATCACTAAAAAATGCAATAAAGCCCCAATAATATATCACCTCATACCTGTTGAAATAGCTATCATAAAAAAGATGAGGGTGGGGCTGGGGTTGTGCCTCAGTGGTAGAGCGCTTGCCTAGCACATGTGAAACACTAGGTTTGATTCTCAGCACTGCATATAAATAAATAAAACAAAGGTCCATTGACAACTATTTTTTTTTAAAGGATGAGGGGCTGGAGATGTAGCTCGGTGTTAGATTACTTGCCTAGCAAGCACAGAGTCCTGGGTTTGATTCCCCAGCAAGTTTAGAGAAAAGAAGACTCATGTACATTGTTGGTGGAAATGTAAATTAGTAAGGCATTATGGAAAATTGTATAGCAGTTCCTCAAAAACTTAGAATTACCAGCAATCTCACTTTGGGGTATATATGCAAAGGATTTGAATCAATATGTTGAAGAGAGACCTGCATTCTCAAATTAATTACAGCATTATTCACAATAGCTAAGTTATGGAATCAACAAAATTGTCCATTAAAGGGTGAATGGTAAAAGAAAATGTGATATATATTAACAGAATACTCTTCAACCTTAAAAAAGAAGAAAAGTCTATCATTTGTAATAGCATGGACAAACCTGTATAAAGTGAAATAAGCCAAGCACAAAATGACAAATACTGCATATTCTCATATATGTGTGGAATTTAAAACAATTACACTCATAGTAGAGAGTATAGTGGTGGATATCAGAGGCTGGAGGCTGAAGAGAATGGGGAGATGTTGATCAAGGTGTATAAAAATTTACGTAGATAGGAGGAATGTTTTTTGAGATCTACTATATAGCACGACAACTATAATTAATAATAGAAATAGAAAATTAAGTTCTCTTGCTGGGTGTAGTGGTGCATGCCTGTATTCCCAGGAACTCAGGAGGCTGAGGCAGGAGGATTTCAAGTTGGAGGCCAACCTCAGAACTTAGTGAGACCCTGTCTGGGGCTGATAGTGGTAAAACTCAGTGGTAAAGTGTCCCTGATTTCAATTCCCAGTAACCCCCCCCAAAAAAGGTATGTTGTGCATTTCAAAATTGCTAAGTTTCAAATATTTACAGCACAAAAAATTAAGTATTTCAGGTGATGGGTATGTTTCTTAGCTTAATTTAATCATTCCACATTTTGTGTGTGTGTGTGTGTGTGTGTGTGTGTGTGTGTGTGTGTGTGAGAGAGAGAGAGAGAGAGAGAGAGAGACTTGACTTTGTATCCCATATATATGATGTTTTGTCAACATACACTAAAATACAAATGTAAAAAATTAAACATTTTCTGTGCAGTGTCTAAACAAAATCTATTTTTATATCCATTATGATTTAGTTCAGATCTGTAACTGGGGGTGTGCCTAGCCTTCTCTACATAAAATGCCCTTTCAGATTTACTTAAATCTGCTGTGTTTAGACCAGCAGTGGCCCCAAGGCCAATAGTATTAGCATCTCCAGGGACTTGCTAGAAATGTTAATTTGGGGGCCCACTCCATACCAACTGAAAAAGTAACTCTGCATGAAACCCAGTAATTCTGTTTTAATAAGCTCTCCAACTGATTCTGATGCACAGGAACATTTGAGAACCCATTGACCTGGACTGTCTGCTATACAGCTGTTTCTCTGGTTAACAAAGCAGTAGGTTTGATGGTTCAGAAGCATTAAAAGATTGCTTAGGATTTCTAGTGGGTGCACAATTCTCTGCTATGAATTGAGTTTGCTAGAAAACAAAGAACTGGCACAAAAGTGTTTTAAAGCCAGGAAGCCTGTAAATCCTTTACTGCAGTCCTACATAGAGCTAGTAGGCTCCACATGCAAAGAGAGACCCTGTTTTCAAGTAGTATCAATTTTCCCAGGAAGCTTCTGGGATTGTGATGTGCAAGTGCTCTCGGGAGGAATAAACTTTTTGAGCTGAGGTACTTCTTAGCTCTCCAAGTGGCTGCATCTGTGCTTAAAAGGGAGGAAATGTACCTGGAAGAAAACTGCACACAGTTTTGCCCTTATTTTATCTTAAAATATGTATATTAAGGGCTGGAGTGCTAGAGCAATTGCCTAGCACATGTAAGGCAGAAGCCATGCCCAAGGGCTCCGCAGGTAAAACCTGTCCCCTTGTATTTTAATTTCCTATGTTCAAATGCAATTAGCAACTGCTTAGATGTAAAAGTGGAGAACAAAGCCTAATTCCTTCTCTAGACCCTCTAGTGCAGTACTCAGAACAGAACAGATACTGTACTCAGTAATTTGGAAAAGAAAGCTATCATTCCACTAGTAACCATCTGAAACTACAGGCTTAGATCACTCCAATAAAATCATCTTTTAGAAGTTCGACTCAGGCGTGTTGGTGCCAAGCCAACAATACATTTTCGCCCAGATTTATCACTTTCAACAGTTTGCCACCTCCCCCAAGGATACCGCCAATCCCCAACTGAAAATAACCAGAGCATTTACACATCCCAAGGTCAACACACACAGTTACACGCCCCCTTAGCCCTACAACTATGCCATCAATTCTCGCGGCAGAGTCCGTCTGCGGGTTAGTTCCCCCCACTCCTCACGTCCTTTCACTTCCGTTCCCCTCTGTCTGCGTAGCTGGTAAGCAGGACATGCCCAGCCCTCAGACTGTAAGAAATACTACAAACCTCTGCCTTATCTGCTCTCCGCGGCTGACGACCCCTGAACTTCGGCTGGCTTCAGAGAGCTATGGCAGTGGCAGTTCGGCCGCTCAACCACTCATTTAGGGTCGGCCATGATAAAGAAGCGCACCGTATTGTTCAAGCGCCTGCAGGTGACGCACAACAGAGTCCCCACAATCCTCTTCGCCTCCGCCCTCCCCACGCCCAGCCGTGGTATTAACCCTTTCGCGCTCTCGTTTGTTGGTCATCGGACTCCTCCTTGCACACCGACTGCTTGGTTGGGAGATCCAGGTGACTTAACTGGTAAAAAACCAGGCCTGTCCTCTTATTCATCTATTGAACATTGTCCTATTTTGCTTATAGGTGGACTTACAAGCTTATCAGTCATTCTAAAATACGAGTTAATTTATTTGTTAAGTGAACAGTTTGTGATAATACCTTTAAACTGCTGGACCAAGCCAAACTCTCAATTTGTAGTTTCTGACCTGTTCACCTTGAGCTTGTAACACTTTCTACACTTGTTCCCCATCTCCTTTAGGTTAATTCCTGACTCTGCATAGATAAAAAGCAGAGACTTTGTAACCATTGGATCTACGGCAGATAACTCAAGCATGCTATTCCTTGGCTTCCTTATCTGTAAGATTAGTATAACAGTATCTATCCTTAGGGTGGTAGTAAGAATATGAAAAGTTCACATGTGAGAAGCACCTAGAACATTGCCTGGCACAGAGTTAAGCAGTATATTGAAATAGAAATCATAATTATTGAGTTTGATGGAAATATTTTTTTACCTATGACCTTCTGACTAATAAATAAGAAATGATAACAATAGCTAGTTAGAGGACCTATTGGATCAGGAACTTTAAGTGCCACCCCATTTTGTTGTTGTTTAACCCTCATAAACCCTTTGGTGGTAGTTAAATTATTATCTTTTCCTCTCCTCTTGCTTTTTTTTTTTAAGCCCATAAGAAAACTCAATAAAGTGCTAGCAGATAATAACTTGCCTGTGGTCACAGAGCTAGTAACATACAAAACCAAGACAAATATCACTGAGAAAAAGGATAGAAATACTTTTCAAGTGATTTTTTTTTTCTCCTGCAAGTTGCTTCAAAATCTTTTCAGGTCAGGAAGACTGTGTTCTTTTCGGAACTATCTCTTCCTTGAAGGCTGGCAGCAAAGGAGATGACTCAAATCACAGTGGTCATGACCAGCTCACTTACTGCTTTCATTGTGCCACACAGGCCCCAATATTGCCTATTCTAACTGAGGCCGCTGGGGATGAAAGTATAAGATCCTCACTTCACCCCACCATTCTGTAAAGCTTGGATATTGTAAAAGATTTTGGTTATTTGAGGAGAGTACCAAGAGATTCTTTAATATACTCTTTGGACTCCAGCCAAATAGTAGTAATTTCCATATTAGTCTCTAGAGTCATGGCCTGAGCCATGAGAGAACAGGAAAATCCCCTCTTTCTCAGATCAAAACAAAGCAGGAATTCCCTCATTCTCCCAGAGTCTGTAGTACCCAGGACCTTGTTATTCTTGCTTTATACCCACCCACTCTCACTTCCAATTTATCCTAAGGCCGTCCATGGTGGTTCTTATACTTTTTCAGGGAAGGACTGGTGATGGTCATGGAACTGGGGAGGAAAAACATAAATTTCCAAGTTGGCTGAGATAAATGAAGCACACTGCCTCATTCGAATATTTGTACTACTTTTCTAGCTTGCTGATCTTCTTCACTGCCTCTAGGCATTTCAGAGCCTATTGTCTGCACCTCATGAAAGCCTCTGGTTTTAAATTGCAGGTGAATAATCTTGTCTTTCTTTCCCCAGCATCCAACAATAGCTCACATGTCTGAGCTTGCCTTCTACTTAAAAGTGGCTAAGTTTAGAAAGGAAAAGGACAGAGATAGCATGGGAAGACTTTTTGCTTAATTTTCTCCATTATTTCCAACTGTCCGACTATTGAAAAATGTCAGCTTGGGGAGAAATCTAGTTCCAGAAGCCAAGAAAATAAAAATCCTAGTGCAAAAGAAAAATGTTAGCAGAGAAATGACAAGCAGACAAGGAGGTCTCTGGGCCAGTAGTGAGATCTGTGAGTGGGTCTTGGACACAAACAAGAAATTGTGCCCTTACAGCTTCTTTTACCCTAACCAACCCAATTATTTCACCACTGCACATTTTGCCTCATCACAGAATCCATCACCAGCTTAGCATAAGGGATAGGTGAGGAGACAGGATGTTGATAAACCCAATGTTACAAAAGATGTGTCCTTAGCATCTCTATTTGTACTCATAACATCTCTTTAGAATCATTGTCATATGTAGTTTAAGTCTCAGGGTCTGCAGTGATTTCTACAATATGTTTCAATTATTTATTTCTTACAGGCTGCTCTAGAGTCCTAATATCTATGACAGAATTTTTATAGTGTACATACACTGCTCTGCTGGTGACCAGTTCAAGCTCCTTTTCCAAGGCAAATAGGCCCATTCTCCAGAAGCTACAGGTGTTAACTGTGCATTTCAGCTGGTTCCTTCTGAGGAAAATGGCACTCCATAAAAGAGCTTTCATGCCTGCAAGATTGCAACATAATCCCCTACTCCATATACAATTCTGCAACCTGCAACCAATAATTGACTGTTGATTGGGGTACAAGGGCACCATGCCTCAAGATTCATAAATTTTATGGTGCAAATCCTATTCCAGAGCACCCCTTGGGATCATGCTAAAGCTGATTTCCAACTGCCTTAGTTTTTCTCCCCTTCTCTATCCTGCTTTTCTCACTCCCCTACACCTGGGAACCCTCCCTCAATAAGTCACTTGCCTAAGAACATGCCCCCTTCAGACTCTGCTTCTAGGGAACCCTGTCTAAGACTCATGCTTATCTCATGTTTGTTAGAGGACTATGTAAAGAGGATCCTTTGTGGGCCCCCCTTGTGTAACTGCAGCAGGCTGTACCCATCTCTGGGGAAGTCAGGAGTGAGTTAAAGTACAACTGGACAGGGCTTCTCAAATCAAAGTTGAACATAATGTTACCAAAAGCTCTGTCCTTGTCCCCAATGCCAATTTAATAAGGAGGACACAGTTTTGAGGAAAAGGAAAAAGAATATTTATTGCTTTGCTAGGAAAGGAGAAGCACAGGGGACTCTTGATTAGAAACCGTGATTCTGTCCATCCTGGGGAACGGGGGCTTTTAAAGAAGCTATTCAAAGACTCCCTAACAGGTGTTCCTGTCAGAGGGATTATGAATCGCTTGTTAATTTTGGAGACAGCCATTCCTTAGATTCTCTGCCAGCACCCCCCACCAGTCTGAATTACTTGGTTCCTATGGTGGGTATGTGCTCAAATACAGATAACTAGGCCTAGAATGGGATATAAAGGTAATCCTGTTCCCTGCCCCTTCGTTAGGAAGGGAGAGAAAGAGAAGAGGAAAAGAAAAACATGTCCATTTTAAAATAAGCCATTGTGCAGTGAGGGCTGTATTCAAAAGGTGAAGTGGACCACTGTTACAATAAGTACTAACTCAAATTAAGATGAGGTTCAGTTCTGTTGGGTACAGTGGCACATACCTGTAATCTAGGTGGCTGGGGAGGCTGAGGCAGAAGTATTGCAAATTCAAAGTCAGCCTTAGCAATTTAGTGAGACCCTAAGAAACTTAATGAGACCCTGTCTCAAAATAAAAAATAAATAAATAAAAAGAACTGGGGATGTGGCTCAGTTGTTAAGCACGACTGGGTCCAATACCTGGTACAAATTTTTTTTTTAAATACATAAAAATAAATGAGTCTCAGTCTATTCCTAACATCTCCTGTCTTGCTGATACCAACATATCACATTCTATCAAATGAGAAATGAAGTTATATGTATTCATGATTCTTTGTAGCAATTCTTACAATTAATACAAAGAGCTATGTATCATTTGTTAAAAATTTAGTTAGGTTAAGATTATTTGTGATACATATTCTAGCTGTAATAATATGGACCTCAAAATTTTTTATCAACTGTTGGATGTTTTATTTTTATTAACTGTAAACTCTATTATTGAAGATAGTCAAAGAATGTGCCTGAGTGGGTTACTTGATAAGAATGCTCATTATTCTAGAAGTGTTAAAAAAAACAGACCATATTATCAGCTTTTAAATAATAAAAATGTAATGTAAAGATTGTGCCATAATACAGGGACTATAGCAGATCATCATTATAAACATCAGCCCAAATATTGTAGAAGTGTACAGATAGTGGTTAAGAGCAATGTTCAGATTGAAAAAAGTGCAGGTTGAAAACAGCCAGATTTTTAAAATATACAGTTGCAAGGATAAAAATTTCATAATATATGTCATTTTATTCAATTTATTCACCCAACATATATATCCTATCACATAGGCCCTTGTATAGCCACCCACATTAATTTCAGTTAATTAAATATATTTTTCTGGCTTACAATAAAAGCCAAGACAATAATTTTCTTTTTTATTGATTTTTTTTAAAGACACGACAGTAGAATATATTATAATTCTTATTACACATACAGAGCACAGTTTTTCATATGTTTGTATAAAGTATGTTCACTCCGATTCATGTCTTCCAAAACGATAATTTTCATTGTGAGTATCCTATCAAATAAATTTCACCTAAATAAGGATCCTGCCATATCTGAAAACACCTGTAATCCAAGGGGCTTGGGAGGCTGAGGCAGGAGGATTGCAAGTTCAAAGCCAGCCTCAGTAAAAGTGAGGTGCTAAGTGACTCAGTGAGACTCTGTCTCTAAACAAAACACAAAATAGGGCTGGGGATGTGGCTCAGTGGTCGAGTGTAAAACCTATTTCTAGGTATATTTGGAAACATTCCTTTTGGTATGATCTCTTATAATTAGTTCCTTCTTATTAGTTTCACTTATGTATATTTATTTATATATTATACTTTAATTCCTTTTAACTTGTTATCTAGCAAAATGTATTGATCAAAAATCAGATTATGAGAATCTTTGTATTGATTATTTTTGATTTGGGTAACTGAAATAAACATTTTCATAAGAATAAAATATCGGGGCTGGGGATGTGGCTCAAGTGGTAGCGCGCTCACCTGGCATGCGTGCAGCCCGGGTGCGATCCTCAGCACCACATACAAACAAAGATGTTGTGTCCGCCGAGAACTGAAAAACAAATGTTAAAA